AATTATTTCGTCACCACTGATAATCCAGACACAAGATGGCGCCAAACAGTCAAAAAGGGCGGCAAGAGAGTCGACCATAAATATGGATGTGATTGTGAATTTATTTGCTGATGGTCAACTCGAATGATCGTGTGTAGTTTCAGCGGTTATCTGGGAATAACATACATTGGAACATAGTGACTGACCAATCAGAATCAAGCCCTCTATTACGTGTAAATAAACTATGCCATTCTTTTACAATCTTAAAATAGATGTTGCAACAATTGACATCTATATTAGGAACACCACCATATTAAAACACACACACACACACACACACACACACACACACACACACACACACACACACACACACACACACACACACACACACACACACACACACACACACACACACACACACACACACACACAAAGAAAAATACCATGGAAGCCAATAGCTGTTTTTTCACCAATCCTTCAGTAATTTAACAGAAACTTTAACAGGTTTGGAACAAATGTAGGATGAGTAAAAGAGGAAAAAATAACATTTTTGGGTGAACAATCCCTACTTAGATATGAGTTGTTGTTCTTCCCAAACTTGCAGAGTGACCTTTTCACCATGGGTCACTGATTGTTGTTTAACAGTATAATTTGTATCTAATAAGATCACAATGATCGTATTAGGCCCAGCAATGTGCCAAACTATTTCTTATGTCTAAATGCCAGATATTTTTTTTTATCTTTATTAGTCATTATTTGTCCTGAAACAACACAAGAACATACTGTAGACACATATCATTTCCGTATGAGAAAATCCTGAAATGTAAAATAAAATACAAATAATTATACACTACCTGACCAAAGACTTGTCGCCTATTCAAGTTTTAGGAACAACAAATATTAATAACTGGATTTCTAGTTGATCATTTTGTATCAGAAGTGGCTTATATGAAAGGCAAAGGCCTCTACATTACACTTATTTTACCAAATAAAATATGATCATGCCTTGACTTTTTAAAAATAATTTAATTAGGACTGAAAAAAAATGATTTAATTTCTTAACAGAAATAATGTACAGTATAGAATATAAAGTCATGCTGCAGTGGAAAAGAATGAATATTGTGTATGACTCTCATGAGCTTGGAGGACTGCATCCATACATCTCTGGAATGACTCAAATAACTTATTAATAAAGTCATCCGGAACGGCAAAGAAAGCTTCTTGCAGGACTCCCAGAGTTCAGCAAGATCCTTTGGAATCATCTTCAATGCCTCCTACTTCATCTTACCCCAGACATGCTCAATAATGTTCATTTCTGGGGACTGGGCTGGCCAATCCTGGAGCAACTTTGATGTGGAGGCTGAAGTATGAGAAGGAGCGCTATCCTGCTGAAGAATTTGCCCTCTTCTGTGGTTTGTAATGTGATGGGCAGCACAAATCACAGGTCTTGATACCTCAGGCTGTTGATGTTGCCATCCACTCTGCAGATCTCTTGCACACCTCCATACTGAATGTAACCCCAAACCATGATTTTCCTTCACCAAACTTGACTGATTTCTGTGAGAATCTTGAGTCCATGTGGGTTCCAATAGGTCTTCTGCAGTATTTGTGATGATTGGGATGCAGTTCAACAGATGAATCATGGGAAAAATGGACCTTCTGCCACTTTTCCAAATGATCAATTAGAAGTCAAGTTATTATTTGTTGCTTTTACAAATGGGATCAACAACAAAACCTCAGTGTATACTTTTTCCTACTTTTTAAAAATCAGATATAAGCATTTAAACAAGTGTTTCAAGTTTGGATAATTTTAGACACTCTTATATACAGAGCATTTTAAGTGACTGGTTAAATTTGCTTTGATGTAAATTATATCAGTGTAAATGAGTTGGTTTCGTCTTAAAAAAAATAAAATATCTGGCCAATCATGACAAATACTACTTTATTTGCACTGAAAAAAAATGTCTGCAAAATTGTTGCAAACAATTTATGTGTTGAATTTAAACAAACAAAATAAATTTAATAATGTTCAACTTAATTTTATTGTTTAAATCTTTACAACCCCTTAACTTAAAAAAAAAAAGTAAATTCAAAAAATCATCTTTGAATAATTTTTTTTTTCAGTGTGGTTTTTGGTGTAGTTTGTTTAAAAAAAAACTTGTCAAGGAATTTCTAAATGTGTTTAAGTAATAAAAAGTGGTACAGTAAAACATGGTAAAAATGTGGTCATTTTTTATTATTTAGGAAATATTTTCTCTCATTCACTTATTATTGAGAAATTGCTGATCAATAACAAGATGGTTATTACCATTTACTACAATATTATATATATATATATATATATATATATATATATATATATATATATATATATATATATATATATATATTTAGAAATTAATGAAACATTTTGAAACATTTAAAAAGAAAATTGACATTCATTCATTTATTCATTATTTAATTCATTTATTCAGGTATAGTTTACACCACCCATGCCCACAGTGCTTTGTGTCCTAAGATGCCCTAAACAGTGATCACTTACGCTTATCTGATGCTCAAAACTCCACCCAGACTAATCCCAGGCTTCTTAATCTCTCTTGTATCCCACAGGTTAAATACAGTAAACCAATATAGACATTACCCGAAGTTACGCTGTCCATGGTTTTTGTTTGCAGCATTTTCTGCTTATTGTATTTATATCGGCTATTACAGTAATGGCTCTGAAGTGTGTTTGTGTGTTTTGTCAGCTTTCTTCATTTTTACAGTGGCATATATATACTGAATGCAACTTTCAGGAAAAATGATTTAGTTATTAGACGTAGACAAAAAGTAATACCAAATAGGCATAATATGAACAGCTGAAGTCTCCGTCTAGTAATTATTTGACTTCATAATTATTCATTTATTCATTTTCTTTTCGGCTTAGTCCCTATAGTCACCTACAGTATAGCACATGTATTTGGACTGTGGGGGAAACCAGAGCCCCTGGAGGAAACCCACGCCAACACAGGGAGAACATGCAAAAACTTCACACAGAAATGCCAACTGACCCAGCCGAGGCTCGAACAAGCGATCTTCTTGGGGTGAGGCGATCGTGCTACCCACTGCGCCACCGTGATGCCTGACTTTATACTAATTTAGATTAAGGTTTTCAAATGTGTACATATAAATCACAAAATACAATAATAATACTGTATTTATTGAAAAGACCCATTTATATATTGAAAGTTCTACATAATCTTGAAAATTATTCATTCTTAAACTGGTTTTAATATGTTGTGTTTTCACCTGCTAACACATAACTCAAAACCTGAGGGGTGTAAACTTATGAACAGGATGGTTGGTGGTTCATTGTTCTTATTTAGTTTAAAAGTCTTAATTTTGTATTTTTATTTAGCATTTCAGAAGAAAATTAAATAATAACACATACCCCAGAATGCGTAATAAGAATAAAAGGTACCCCAAATCATCTATCACCCTGAGTTTTAATATTTTTCCTTCTGTACTTCGTTTTGAATCATTTTTTTTAAGTGGAAGTGAGGGGAAATCACATTATGAAATATATATGTATGTTTATATTTACATCAATACACACTCAAATGCTGTGTTTGAGCACAAATTTGAGTAAAATATGTACAAAGCTTTATGTTAAAGATTTATTTCAGGTTATTAAAACAAGCTTTATGCTACACATTGTAGAGCTCTTGATGCGTTGGCGCTGTGTTGTGTGTAGATTCGTTGCCATCTATTGGTAGAAAATGAGTCTTACAGAAAGAACAGAACTGCGGTTGCTTTATTAGTGAATAAGATCACATAAATAAATGATCAAATTATCAATAAAACTCAAATTGGCATCAAAAGCAAATTGACCATTTATTTTTATTTATCTTGATGGCATTTTGATATATAGATAGCAAAATTACCATTAAACATGAAGAATTTTATAACATTAAAAATGCCACAGAACTTATAAAGACACAATGCACTTGGAACTTGCTCACAATAAAGACTATAGACAATAAATAAGAAATTAGATGCAAATATAAAATCAAAACGACAAAATAAAACATCATAGTTGACCTGAACGACATTGTTTTGTGTTGAAAATTAAAAAAAATCACACATCAAGCTACATATATTTCTTTAAGCTACACATATGTACACAAGTTAATGCTGATTCGAATTCATTTTTGAATCGTTACAACAAATAATTTTTCAGATTCATTTAATTTTCGGTTTTCTAATAATTTTTTTCTTTTCCTCACAGTAATACATTTTTAAATCAATTGATTACCGTTTCCCAATTCATACAGTTTACTTAAATTGGAAATAAGCCTGATGTTTTTTTTTACTTTAACTTCAAATTTGGAGCTGTGAAACCTGCAATTAATTACGATTTCTTTAAAATAATCACCAACTCGTCTCCTTTGTCGCATAATGTACTGTACAGTATGTACATGTCAGTTGTATTGTCTGCAGTGTTGAGGAAAGTTACTTTTGAAAGTAATGCATTACAATATTGAGTTACTCTCCAAAAAAGTAACTAGTTGTGTTACTTAGTTACTTTCTATGTAATGCGTTAGGTTACTTGTGAGTTACTTTTGTGTTACTTTTCGTATGGCTGAGGCTTGACCTTTTTCAGAACATGCAAGTAGGGCTGGACCGAAAAATAATATCTCGATATCATTAATGTTGTTAGCAATGATAAGCTCTAGACTTTTTTACTCTATTTTGATCTAAGATCCAATCACACAGCAAAAATGTGCAACAATGGGAATCTAAAAGTGTGTTGATATTAGAGATGCACTGAATTTTTGGCCACTGAAAATTTTGCGGCCAAAAATATGTTGTGCCATTTAATGGACTCTCTGATTTTTGTGGCTTCAGTCATTGTTGGGGGACTCATTTAAATCTGGAAGCATTAACAACTTATATTGAAATACATATTGTTATCGTTGGGTATGGAAAATAATTACGAGATTGCATTTTTGCCATATCTCCAAGCCCTACTCGCAGAGTTTTTTTTTTTTTTTTTTTTTTATATGACGAGCTTTGCAACTAACAACACTCTCTATAACTTTTGTTTAGCTTTAAAAAACACACACACACATCTAAAAGTTGTTTAGAATAAAGTGATCTTTTGAGCTATACATGCTGTATATACAGAATAATGCAAATTTAAAGCAACATGTTTGCTACTTTTGTACTTTTTTCCTATGCATTAAGTAGTCAGTCCAGTGAGACAATCCACTTTTCAAAATGTCAATTTTAATTCAACAATGAATTTTTTAAAGCTATTCAAGATGAAGTTGTTGCGTCTTTTTACCAGAGCTTGCCATCGCATAATTTCAGGAGTTGAAGATTCATAGACAGTGTATAGAGGTAAAGAAGACGGCTCATTAAAATACAAATGTTTGATCGAATGCGATGCTGTAGATGTTACGATCTTTCATTGACTTTTCCTCGACGTATAGTTGAAGTCAAAAGTATTCGCCCTCCTGTAATTTATTTTATTTTATTTATTTGTTACATTTTTTTTTATTTTTCCCAAATGATGTTTAACAGAGCAAGGAACTTTTCACAGTATTTCTTATAATATTTATTTCTTCTAGAGAAAGTCTTATTTGTTTTATTTCCGCTAAAATAAAAGCAGTTTCCAATTTTTTAAAGACATTTTAAGGTCAATATTATTAGCCTCCTTAAGCATTTTTTTATTGTCTACAGAACAAACCACTGTTATACAATGAATTGCCTAATAAACCTAGTTAAGCCTTTAAATGTCACTTTAAGTTGTATAGAAGTGTCTTGAAAAAATAGCTAGTAAAATATTATTTATTATCACCATGGCAAAGTAAATAAAATAAATCAGTTATTAGAAATGAGTTATTAAAGCTATTGTGTTCAGAAATAAATTTTTTCTCTGTTAAAAAGAAATTGGGAGAAAAGTATACAGGGGGACTAATAATTCTGACTTCAAGTGTATGTGTGCTATCTGGGTTAATTAAACTAAAAAGTAACTTGCATTACATTCATTTTTAAAAGTACTGCATCACTTTACTCTTTACTTCAAAAAGTAATATCTGCATTACTTGTAACACGTTACCCCCAACACTGATTGTATGTGTATATAATAGTGCTTCTATACTTTCTTTATCATGCATAAACAGCGTCCAGCATCTCTCCAGCTGAACACAGGTCCTCGCAAGCCTTTGAAATGGATGAAGCTCATGTGGTTTGTTGTGTTTTGTTAGTGTTTTTCCTCACACGTGTCTCTTCATGTGTAACGCCAGGTGGTCGGACCTGCTGAAGGCTCTGTGGCACAGCAGACACTCATACGGCTTCTGTCCGGTGTGTTTTCGGAAGTGTCTCGTCAGCTCGTCTGAACGGGCGAACTTCCACCCGCAGCCATCCCATGTGCAGTGATACGGCTTTTCACCTGCGGACAACAGATAAAAACACAGGTAAGCCAACAATATCTCGCAAGTTTTTGATGTGGCTAATTCATAAATCAATCTCATTCGTACAATTTAGTACAATATGCTCATTCCCCAATAACAGTTGGGTTTAGGGGTGAAGTTTGGTGCCATGCCTCCTTTTAAAAGTTGTACATTTTCCAATGACAGCTAGTGTTTTTCAGCCAACGATAAACTTCCAGTGAAAGGTTTATGTGACGGTTGGTTCCTCTTACAGCATTGATGTTGTCATGTAATTAAAATATAATCAGACTTAAGCATTTATTTAGTTGTTCAGCATAAAACAAGATGAAAGACAGTGTAAACGCAAGTATTGTCAGTAGCAGCAGGCTAGCGCAGAAAGTCCATTTAAAATGGAAAAAAGTTTGGATATTTTAAAGACATTGCGCTGAAAAATCTAATTTAATGTAGTGCTTCCTGTCCGCTCTGATGCCCACTTTATATCATACATCAATCAGTCAGTGAAGATCATTGCTGGTTGATTAAAAGTGCAGTATGTAAGTTTGACACCCAGTGGTTCAAGTAGGTATTGCATCTCTGGATCAAAACAAAGGCAAGCGCAGGTTGCCAGATTGAGGACAGAAGCAAGTGAATTAAACAGTGTTCTAAGTAAAAGCAACGGCACCTGATAGAAGGAATATTTCCCATATTAAAAGTGTTTTTGTCCTAACCAACACCTCGCATTTATATTTTAGAAATGGCTTCTATTTCTCACAGGCGAACAACAGAAGAGTATGACAATGATCACCTCAGGTACACCTAATGTGCTTTATTCAGTGTTAAATGCTAATAATGTGAGTTTGAATGCCATTTTACATGACATTTATTACCATACCACTACAAGCAGAAGCAGATAGTTCACCTCAGATCTTGAAAAAAATGAAATAAACCATTTAAAATAAAACTTTAGAACCTTAGACTCAAAACCAACACATATCAGTGATTCAGCATCTACATTTAATAATGTTAAAGATGGCTAATATGTAATAAATAGATTATAAACCTTACCATTTAGTGAGTGAGTGCATATTCTGCGCTTCTGATTGGCTGTATTTAAATTTTTGTCGTGTTTCGTCTGGTGCAAACAGCCAAATTACTTATCACTGCATAGCTCGTCACATAGCGTGTTGTTAGGACACGTGGTTACAATGTATCTTGATCACCTAATGGTAGCCATATTGCACGCAATGGCATCCATATTGCACCAGACTGTACACCACACACCACACACCAGCTGATTGGTGGTTTGGAGGCCATGATGGAAGAAGGCCAGTGGGCAGATTTGGCCAGGATGTTTAGCCCTGCTTAGCTTCAGTGGGCAACCATGTGAGAGTTGAAGAGAGCTATAGCTGCCGGCCAGTTAATAACCACCTCATGTGGAACTGAATCTGTCTCATTTCGGAGTCTGATACTGTCCATCAGAGGTCGCATTTCAGTCACGGACAGATGCTTTCAGAGCCTTTTTAAATGAATGAATGAATAAATGAATGAATGTTTTCCACAAAGGCAACCCAGGGTGCTGAAATATACTTGGATGAACTGGCAGTGGGCAGGGTAAATTTAACCAAAACAAAGACAGTTGTTCTGGCGCGGAAAACACATTTTCAAAGCAGAATATCTGACCTCAGCATTGTTTTTCAGATAAAGTAGTATTTTCACTTGGCATGCTTCTTAAATATCTGCAAACATTTATGCTTTAGAAGAGTCAAAAACTTACATACAGTACAGCACCTTTAAAAGTTAGTGTGCATTTTCCTTTTGGAAAAAGTCTCATTTCTTTTAGTTTCGCTAGAATGAAAGTAAAAAAAAAAAAAATTTAATCTAAAATTAAGGTCTGTATAATTAGCCAGCTAAAAAAATGTATGTATGATTTGATTGGCTACAAAACAAACCACTTATTTCCAATGATGTGCCCAATTAACCTGGTTAAGCTTTTAAATAGCACTTTAAGTTTTACAGTCAGAATTTTGAGATAAAATTCTAAATTCTAGAATATGAAGTCATAAAATCAGAATTATGAGTTATAAAGTCACAATTTTGAGAAATAAAGTCATAATTCTAAAATAAAAAGTCACAATTTGAGATTTAGTCACAATTCTAAATGATAAAGTAAAAAGTCACAATAACTTTATTTGTGGCGGGAACAGGAGGGCTAATAATTTGGATTTCAGGTAAATTTGCCACTTTTATAAATGTGCAATCATTTGATTATGGTTTGTAAAATGGATGCTTTACAAAAGTTTTTTTTTTTTTTTTTATAAAGGTTTCACTCAAACTAGGCTTTAAGAAAAATGAAAATGAGTCTGACCTCAGTAAATATTAGCAACAGGATATGATGTCATGCAATAGGGTTTGCATGTGTTTGAATGAAAGCGAAGGAAGAGGCAAATGTGTTATTGTTTCTGTTAAACTAAGGTTAATGAAAATTTGTATTGTATCACAGATAAATAAGGTAAAACATATTGAGAAAATATGTTTAAATGAGAACATTTGAACTTTTAAAAATAAAAAATAAAAAATTTGAAGTACTACAAAATTACTAGAATTAAAACCCAAACAACAGCGGATTAAAGATATCTAAAAGATATCTAAAATATAATAATAAAATAAAATAAAATACTGTAAAAAACAAATAAACTAATAATGTTCAATATAAATTATCAAATGAAATTAGTGTAATAAGCAGTATAAATAAATCATTAAACATTTTACTGAAAAACACACAGCTATTACAGGTATAACATTAATCTGTCATCATAATTTTATTTTATTTTTGTTCAATGACAACCACAGTAAGAGAGGTAGATATTATTTAGACAGTTTAAAAATATATTTAAGCCTAACCACAAAACCAAGTCATAAATTCAGCATAGTTTGTTAGCAAATGACAATATTATGGCTGAGATGCAACTATTTGAAAATGTGGAATCTGAGAATTAAACAAAAAATCCTATTTAAAGTTGTTTAAAAAGTTTGTTTTTATATATTTGCAGAAGGAAATTTACAAAATGAACATGATCTTAACTAGGTTGTTGCTAGATCAGATATGGTTTGGGCTTGAAGTTAACGAGAATTGTTTATATTATTTATGAAATTTCCCATTAATTGTATTTTATTAATAGTTTACCCCCACCCTAACTCTAAATCCAACCGTCACAGTAATCTAAAAGCAGTAGTTGTACCAAATATTTTTTTATGTTATCTATTAAATTACCCAATAAATTATATTTTTTAATGCCTACAACCCCCCCAACCCTAAACTCAACAATCACTGTACTGTAGAAATATAAATTATTGTTATACAGTGTCATAAAAAATGCTGCTATGTTGATGTGCATATCGCACTGCCGGCAGCCGCATATCTGATCAATACTTTACCTCTTAACTAGGGCATATGACAATGAAAATCATATTTAGAAAAATATAAAGTCTATTGTTTCATGTTATTATGCTATATCAATTATTTTGTTATGTCAAAGAAAACACTAAGGTAATACTTTTTCATCATTTAGATGACCAACCTGGATGCAGACAGAAACATGGTCCATGATAAAATTGTTGCAAGCTTGAAAGTACAGTTTACATTTAGCATTTTATTAGTGAATATTTCACGTTATGCCTGCAATAATCACCTTTTAAAAAGTGTTTTATATTTCATAAATTTTTTTATTAATATTTAAACATTTTAATCAAACATTTTCCACAAAATTTGCTGAAAAGTAAGAAAAATAATCACACATGTTTGAGCGTATACTATCATTTTTGCCATATTGCCCAGCCATGATTTTACTAGTTTTATTTTTTTAAATTGGCATGTAAATACAGAAAAATGTATTATTTTGACTATTATTTTGGAATATTCCTAGATTTTAGCTCTCGGGTAAGACAGCTGCTCTCACTATAGGCATTTTGGCTGGTTGAATAAAAAAATTTTAATTGTAGTTTTCTTAAATCTAGGTTCGACAATAAGCACGGCCCAATATGCGTACAAATGTGATCTTAGAATCGAGAAGCAGCACGACTGATAAAAATAACTGTGTTCGTGCGGGCAAAAGAAAGCAGGTGAATACCTGCTATGCTTATGAGAGGATGATTACTCGCCTGCACAGGGGATAGGATGCGCGCAACTGTTAAAAAGCGTGCTCGCTCTCGTTTACTTGTGCGAAACAACCATGTGTGGAGGCAACGCAACTGGTGCAATCTGTTCTCTTTGAAACAGACTAGACAAAAAGCGATGCTCGTGTACCCACAGTCCTGCTGCTTTCAAGAGCTCAAGATTGAAAAAAAAAGTATTGTTTTGTAAGCAGCAGCAGTCACTGCTTTTGTTTTAACTATTCTTTGAACAGATTATTAACAGGCACAACATTACCATCATGTGCATGTGATCATCCTTTCATTATCACACACGGTATGTTTTCATCTGCTTTTGTTTGCTAACAGTTATTTTTGTTAATATAGTTTAATTATCATCCTTTACAACAGCATTGCATTAATATGAGATTAACTCCCCATTTATGTGTAGTAACTGCTGATAGGACAGATTACTGTGCATATTTTAGATACATGACAATCGATCTTTTTAAATGTCAAAAAAAGAAAAAAAAAAGAAAAGTTTTGTTGAATAAAGCACATGTATGCAGCTATATTTTGCTTGTTTTTTCTTGACCGCAATCAAGAAATAATTATTTATTTTTGGTGTGGTCAGAGATAAATTTGGTAAATCCTTAATTTTGAGCCCTAAAAATGTCATGTGAAATAAAAACCAATTGCAATGCAACACAACCCATTTGCTCATGCACAGTGAGCAAGCTCATACACAACACACGCAAAAAGTGAAATGAATGAGGAGGCATGTGGACATAACACAACATCTAAATCAAGTAATTTTAGCATGTCAAAGTCATATTCATGCATATAAAATATATTTTCCTAACAACAAAAGTGTGGCTAGACACAGGGGCAGAAGGCCAGAAGGGCTGGACCAATTTTTAAATGTGGGCCGGTCAGTTTTTTTTTTTTTTAATATGTTATTGTTTTTAAGTGCAGACAGCTTTTATCTCTTGCTAGATGTGATATTTTGATGATAATAATAATAATAATAACAAATATTAAGCATTTGGCCCAATCGGCAACTGCCGCCTGGTTTCAAGATTGGCCGACCCAATCCAAGGTTACCCATACATAATCAAAATCTGGCAAGAATGTCATATTATTTCACCATCTGTAGACTAAATAGTGAATGTGCGTGTCTGTGGGTGGGGCTGTGTCGGTGTGGTAATGTGGGCTGGTGTGGCTACAGTGCCAGGGCTGAATTTTTGTCCCAGTCCATCCCTGGCTAGACAACAAAAATGGCGAGTGGCTAGTAACGTTGGAAATCTACTAGCCACAGTGGCTGGTGATCAAAAAAGTTAATGTCAAGCCCTGGAATTAACCCAACATAAACACAGGAGGGTGATAAAAATGCTCATCTTTAATGGAAATTTCAGATGGCACTTAAAGGTTTCTGCATCTGAACTCTTCACATTTAAAACACATCTTCCTAGAGTAGCGTTAAAACATTAGAGATAGCAATAATACATGAAAGTGTGTTTTTAGCTTACCTGTGTGTGTACGGAGGTGTGCTTTGAGATGAGAGCTCTTGGTGTATGTCTTCTGGCAGCCTGGATATTCACAGCTGTGCACCGTGGCTTTCCTCTTGACCAGCCCTCTGCGGATGCGCTTGCTCTCAAGGCCTGCAGGCGGCACTGTGGAGTCGGGCACCATGCTCTGTGTGGAGGGAAAGTGGCTCTGCGGCGGCGGCCTGTGGACGTAGTTTGCCTGCTGCTGGTAGAGTCTGGGATGCGAGTAGCTCGGGATGAAGTTGTAGTGATGATGCGGAGGAAAGACCACTGTTTCCATTGTGATCCCCTGCGTTTGGACAAATTTGGAGTCTGGGAAGGATATCAGAGGCGCAGGCTGATAGTAATGTCCGAAATCCCAGGACTTCCCCATTTTTCCCATGCTGCTGTCTCTGTTTACATTACTTGTGACAGGGAAAGCACTGAACTGCTGGGGGTTTTCTGCCTGGGAATATGATTTGGCAGCTTGTTGATCTAGAAATCCACAATTAAACTGGAGGTCAGGAGGCAGGGAGGAACTTAAGGTTGCTTCAGGAGGAAGCAGCTCAGCTAGGGAACTTGCAACGCACACTTGATGTCTGTTTGGTTTTGGTGCGTTCAGCTCCTGATAAAGATCTGGACTGTGAAGCTGGTCCTGTAGGGTCGGCCGCTGGGGAGTGTAGTTTTGAGAGTTGGACCGTTCAGGTGACATACTGGCCCAGTCAGACAGTAGGAACTCCATGTCCCAGCATCCCTCGCTGTCGTCCTGGTGCTCATCAGTCAGGAACTGGGAAGGTTTGTAGCTGGCTGGGCTTTGGTGCAGATCCTTGGAGTCCAGATCCAGAAAGCCTTTTTCAAACTTACCAACCATTGAGGAAGACATCAGATATTAAAACAAAAGAGATATTAGTGAAAAGTATTTGTTTAAAAAAAATATTTGATATATATTGAACTTCTCATTGGAATACAGTGGAGATCATATTTACAGATCAATATTATGGGGTCACTGTTTAGAGGCTAGTTCTGGTGAACTAGTGATGTCCTGAGAATATTCAGTTCAATTCAAGTTTGTTTGTATAGCGCTCTTCACAATAATTATAATTATCAAAACAGTGTTAGAAAAGGTGCATATTAATGTATTACAATCAAATTCAGAAAAGTTAAGGTTATAAGGTATCATAACTTTAACACTTTAACTAATTGACTAACTAATAGCTTTTAACAGTTAAAGCTGTTATACAGTTGAAGTCAGAATTATTAGCCCTCAGTTTATTTTTTCCCCCAATTTCTGTTTAGTGGAGAGATTTTTTTAACACATTTCTAAACTTAATAGTTTTTATAACTCATCTGTAATAACTGATTTATTTTATCTTTGCCATGATGACAGTAAATAATATTTTACTAGATATTTTTCAAGACACTTCTATAAAGCTTAAAGTGACATTTAAAATGCTTAACTAGGTTAATTTGGTTAACTAGGCAGGTTAGGGTAATTAGGCAAGTTATTGTATAATGATGGTTTGTTCTGTAGACTATTGAAAAAAAAAATAGCTTAAATAATATTGTAATAATATATACTAATAATATTGACCTTAAAAGGGCTTTTAAAAATTAAAAACTGCTTTTATTCTAGCCGAAATAAAACAAGTAAGACTTTCTTCAGAAGAAAAAATATTATCAGACATACTGTGTAAATTTCCTTCCTCTGTTAAACATCATTTGGGAAATATTTTAAAAAGAAAAGAAAAATCACAGGGGGGCTATTAATTTTGACTTCAGCTGTATATAAACACAGTTAAACTGCAGTTATATATTATATAGGTAATTTCTATGTATATGCAATGAAGAGTGTTTGTGTATTAGGTAGATTGGTGAAGTTGAGAGACTAGTGATGTTCTGTGAGAGACTAGAGAGAGATTGCATTTGGGAACAGAGATGAGGTCCTCAAGTCACTAAATCAGCATACTATCATCTCAAAATCATTGCAAGGCTTAGATGCTTTGTTTCTAATGAAGAACTTATTCATGCTTTTGTCACCAGTAACGTGGATTACTGTAATGGACTCCTCACTGGCCTTCCCAAAAAGACAGTCAGACAGTTGCAGCCCATCCAGAATGCTGGGGTCAGGATTCTGACCAGCACCAAAAAGTCAAAGTACATCACATCTGTGCTCAGGTCTTTACACTGGCTCCCAGTTACATTCAGAAAAGATTTTAAAGTGTCATTACTTGTCTATAAATCACTGGTGTAGGACCTCAATACATTACAGATATGCTTACTGAATACAAACCTAACAAATCACTCAGATCTTTATCATCAAATAAGTTAGAAATTCCAAGAATTCAGTCAAAGCAAGGTGAATCTGCTACTACGCCTCTCACTGCTGGAATCAGCTTCCAGAAATGATCAAATATGCTCCAACATTAGGCACATTCAAATCAAGACTTAAAACACATCTGTTTAGCTGCGCTTTTTCTGAATGAGCACTGTGCTACGTCCGACAGATCACAATATTATGTCTTTCTATGCTTTTTCATTCTTTTCTAACCTGTTTTAACACATTTTAATCTGTTGTTGTCTGTTTTATTAATTTTCAATTCTTTTATTTTTTATTCGCTCATCTCTTTTATTCCTATTTATATAAAGCACTTACAAATACCACTGTGTATGAAATGTGCTATATAAATAAACTTGCCTTGCCTTGCCAAGAGAGAGAGAGAGAGAGAGAGAGAGAGAGAGAGACACTAGTGAAGTCCTGTGACAAACTAGTTCTGTCCTGTGAGACACTAGAGAAGTGTGAGAGACTAGTGGAGTCCTATGTAAGACTAGTGATGCACTGAGAGATTAATGATGTCCTGTGAGAGACAATTGAAGTGTGAAAGACTAGTGATGCCCTGAGAGATTAATGATGTCCTGTGAGAGACAATTAAAGTGTGAAAGACTAGTGATGCCCTGAGAGATTAATGATGTCCTGTGAGAGACAATTAAAGTGTGAAAGACTAGTGATGCCCTGAGAGATTTATGATGTCCTGTGAGAGACAATTGAAGTGTGAAAGACTAGTGATGCTCTGAGAGATTAATGATGTCCTGTGAGAGACAATTGAAGTGTGAAAGACTAGTGATGCCCTGAGAGATTTATGATGTCCTGTGAGAGACAATTGAAGTGTGAAAGACTAGTGATACCCTGAGAGATTTATGAGAGACTAGTGAAGTGTGAGAGACTAGTGAAGTCCTATGAAAGACTAGTGAGGTCCTGAGAGAATAATGATGCCTGTGTGGGACTAGTGAAGTCCAAATATCTTTTTGTTACCTTCACAATTTGTTATGTTTTTTTTTTCTAATTTTGATAGATTTCTTTTCTGTGCTGGATAGCTGTACATTACTTCAATTTCTGAAAACTTCATAAACTGTTCAAAATCTTCTACACTCCAAAAAAATATTTTGCTGCTTGTTTAAACTGCTTAATGAAAACAAATACTCTCAGATAATATTTATTTTTGCTTGTTCAAACTACTTATTTAAAATGAGCTAAAATAACACAATTCTTGAGATTTCATTGGGACAAATTAAATTTTTTTTTAATGTTTAATCCACATAAATTTGTTAAAAGTGTTAAGTTAACTTAATTGATATGTGTTGGGTCAACATCAATGAATTGTGTGGAACCCTGCAGTTTTTTACAGTGTAGAAACAATGAAATTCTTAAGGGTTTCTGGGACAACTTAATTGGTTTTTGTTTAATGGACTTAAATTTAAAAAAATTATATGACTTAACTGATTTGTGTTTGGACAACATGAAGGAATTGTGTGAAACCCAACATTTTGTTATAATTTTGATCTCCACTGTATGTTATGTTTATTTACAACCACATAGCCTAAGATCTCCATTCAGATTATTCTGTTTTACTTGATGTGAGTGTAGTTACATAATAGTTCATAAAATTATCTTTGCACTGATGCATTTTTAGTACACTCTCAGGCTTTGTTTAAAATGGATGATCTGGAACTTATGCTCTAAAGTCACTATGTTTAAATAAATAAATAAATAAATACAGTCATAAAAACAGTACATTTAGATAAAATGATGAGGTAAATGATGTGAAAGGAACATACCTTCATGTTTTCGGAGTTGGTGCAGAAGTTTGAAAATGAAGGCAGTACGGCTTGAGTCACAGCCATCCGTTTGGTGCCCTTTCAGCATTTATTACACAAACAATTGTCTCCAAATAGAGTGTTTGATATTTGTCCAGAATTGTATTTATTTACATGTGCAATACACAAAGGGTAAGAACCCAGAATTTAGTGTTAAAGTCAAATATATTTACATAAAACTTCACAGTGCCATTAAAGGTTACTTTATCTTCCCCCCTTTCTTTCTCCCTCTCTTTTTTTCTCTATCAGTAAGAAACTTACATGTATGACCCCTGACAGTTGTGATTGTGGGTGGAGTTTAAAACTGAAGCCAGATATTTGAAAGTCTTTGCATTTTAGTAGGTTAAAATCAGCCAAATTAACAGCAGAGTAAAGAAATGTGGGACAATTTAAATAAAATTATCCTTTTTTTTTCTATTTATTTTAAACGTTTTGTAAAATACATGATTATCTAGAAATATGGCAGTTCACTGTTGTTTTTAAGAACCAATATGAGTGGGATATTTTATCCAGTTGCTCGTAATAATTGCTACATTAGTCAACAAATGAAGGCTAACATAAATTAAAGTACAGTGCTCAGCGTAATTGAGTACACCCCATTTTGAGAATAAATATTTTTATCCATTTCTCAGTAAATATAGGCAATGTATTTTAGTGGATTTAAACAAAACAGATTTATTACACAGATATGTTTATTCAAATAATAATTTAGGCACCAAATATATTTAGAAATTGAAAAATAATACAATAATATTCAAGCAAAATATTACTAAATTTAAAAAAAAAAGTTTGCTTCTCTTCATTTTTTAATCTTTTTTTTTGAACTAGCATTTAATATTTGTCTATAAAATATTTTAACAATTTGGGTGTGCTAGTTTTTGGACCGTTATAATGTTAGATAAGCTTCAGATTTGGCTTCAGTGCTGACTACAGTAATGCATATGCACAAATATAATATTGTATAGCTTCTTATTAAAATTGTATATATGTATTTAAAAGATTTGTGAGTGGTGTACTTATATATGCTCAGCAGTGTAATATTTAAAATTGAAATAATTTTGAAATTAAACAGTGAGCTTGCAATGGATATTAAACATGCTACTGCAAAATATATTAATAGTTTAATATACAATAGAAAAAGGAAAAACTTACAGACTTGGTTAAAAGTTTGAAAACATTGAAATTAGTGTTATTAACTGTTTTTGATGTGGAGATATTTTAAAATGGAATGTATTTCCATTGCTGTAGTCTTCTGTGTCACATGATGCATATAATAATAATAATAATAATAATAATAATAATAATAATAATAGTAGTAGTAGTAGTAGTAGTAGTAGTACTAGTAAAAGTATACATTGTGTGACAGCAAATACAGTTGAATTATTGGCCCTCCTGTGAATATTTTTTTCTTTTTTAAATATTTCCCAAATGATGTTTAACAGAGCAAGGAAATTTTCACAGTATGTCTAATAATATTTTTTCTTCTGGAGAAAGTCTTATTTGTTTTATTTCAGCTAAAAAAAAGGAGTTTTAATTTTTAAAAACCATATTAAGGTCAATATTATTAGCCCCCTTAAGCAATTATCTTTTCAATTGTTTACAGAACAAACCACTTATACAATGACCTGCCTAATTACCTTAAATTGCCTGACCTGACTTGCCTAGTTAATCACTTAAATGATACTTTAAGCTGAATTATTATCTTGAAAAATATCTAGTCAAATATTATTTACTGTATCATGACAAAGATAACATAAATCAGTTATTAAAGATGAGTTATTAAAACTATTATGTTTAGAAATGTGTTGAAAAACCTCTCTGTTAAACAGAAATATACAGGGGATAATAATTCTGACGTCAACTGTGCTTCAAAAAGCAAAACAAAACATCTCAACATATGACTTGTAACCTGTTCATCATGATATTAAAAGCTAAATTAATGAGAACATTGTTTGCATAGATTGAGCGAGCAGAAATATATAAAACAGAGCATCTATGTTTAAGCTCACGGCTCTAACTTAATGCAATACCTCTCTCCTGCACATAAAGTCAGCATCTATGTGAGTGTGCGATTCTGAGAAGGCCGGTGTTCAGTAGGTGATTATGTTCTGGAGAGCAGTTATCAGTGTGCTTTGGCTGATCACAGGCCTCCTGTCCTGGAAGAGATAATAGAGCGAGCTCCGGGTCCCTCTGATGCCCCTTTGCCCACTGATAACAGCACAAACACACATTTAATATCACCAAACCTTTTTTTTGCGACTGAGTTGTTTGTGTTGAAAGCCACTGTATTGTCACATTTGAATAAGAACACATCGTTTCCTTATGCACGTTGACTGTTTTTAGTGCACGAATCAGGTCAGTGCAAGGTTACTCAAATGAGCGGCTAAATAAACACAAGGTTACAGTCTCTTGAAATAATGCAACTCATGCTTGATGGCTGTAGCTGAAACTGAATGTTGGGAGGAAGGGCAACATTTGGTCATCATGAATGCAAACAGATACAGTCATAATTATTAGCCCTCTGTGCATTTTTTCCCAATATTTCCCAAATGATGTTTAACAGAGAAAGGAATATTTCACAGTATTTCATAAAATATTTTTTCTTCTTAAAAAGAGTCTTATTTGCTTTATTTTGGCAAGAATAAAAGCAGTTTTTTAATTATTAAATGCCATTGTAAGGTCAATATTATTAGCTCCTTTAAGCAATTTTTTGTTTAGATTTTCTACAGAATAAACCATTGTTATACAATGATTTGCCTTAATAACTAATTAACGTAGTTAAGCCTTTACATGTCACTTTAAGCTGAGTACTGGTATCTTGAAATTATCTAGTCAAATTTTATGTACTGTCATCATGGCAAAGATAAAGGAAATCAGTTATTAGAAATAAGTTAGTTAAACTATTATGTTTAGAAATGTGTTATGTTCGTACAAATATACAGGGGAACTAATCATTCAGGAGGGCTAATAATTCTGACTGTATTTACAGTTGAAGTCAGAATTATTAGCTCCCCTGTTAATTATTTTCCCCAATTTCTGTTTAACAGAAAGACAATTTGTTTTAACACATTTCTAAACATAATAGTTTTAATAACTATTTTCTAATAACTGATTTATTTTATCTTTGCCATGATGACAGTAAATAATATTTTACTTGATATTTTGCAAGACACTTCTATACAGCTTAAAGTGACATTTAAAGGCTTAACTAGGTTAATTTGGTTAACTAGGCAGGTTAAGGTAATTAATCAAGCTATAACGATGGTTTGTTCTGTAGACTATTAGAAAAAATATAGCTTAAAGGGGCTAATAATATTGACCTTAAAATAGCTAAAAAAAAATAATACTGCTTTTATTCTAGCCAAAATAAAACAAACTAGAATTTCTCAAGAAGAAAAAATATTATCAGACATACTGTAAAAAATGTCCTTGCTCTTTTAAACATCATTTGGAAAATAACAAAAAAGAAAAAAAAATCAAAGTGGGGCTAATAATTAATAATATATACTTATAAATACTTATTATAACAGAATAAGTTCTGTTCACTGCATTTGTTTTTTAAAATTACGATTATACTTGTCAAAATCACCAGTGATCTAGTCTATACAGATTGCCGAAGAACTACAAATCTGCCACCACAAGAACTACAAATCCTCTCATGCACCACACACTCACACCTGTTCCTCATTCACCTTAATTACACATATACATACACAGCCAGTGGAACGTTTTGAACTAGTTACTTAGACTTTAAAAGCAGCACACGCACACACCAGTCTTGTAAAGGCTGATTTATACTTCTGTGTCAAACACCAGCGTATGCTACGGCGCTGACGCATAGCCCTTCGCCGTGGCCATCGGCGTCACTGACGTGTACCTCTCAAAAAATGTAACTACACGTCACAACAACGCGTAGCGCAAGCTCTGTGATTGGTCGGCTTGGTAGCGCTGACGAGTCTGGGCAGGGCCGAGAGCCACGCGAATGGCGCGAGCGATTGTTTACAAGTGTTGAGTCCCGTGAAGGAGCTCCGGATGGAAAGTTTTGTTTTGTGTTTACCTCATAGTTAAAGTTGTTTCACGTCCGCCGGTTCCTGCCTCAAAATGAGTGAGTTTGAGCCACTTGTACATTCCGGAAGTGTTCAGGAAAAGCAAAAAAAGCAGCGAAGAAACTCGACACAGAGGAACATTAACACCTCACTGCCAACTAGCATTTCGGAAGTGTTAATGCAGACCAACAAAGACAGCGCGCAGAAGTATAAATGCACAGCCACGCGCGTTGCATGTGTCGTGGGTTACGCCGGTCACTGGACGCAGAAGTAAAAATCAGGCTTAAGCTGTTGAGTGAACATTATGACGCTGTTTGCCTTGTCTTGCCGTGTACCGATCAATGCTTTGTTTGTTGTTGTTGTTGTTTGCCGCCTGGATCGACCACTTGCCTGTTATTGACCAATCTTCTGGATTTGACTGTGTTACCGTTTGCTCCTGATTGTGATGATTGGCTGCCTGACCATTCTCTATATAATAAATCCTGCATTTAGATCCGCAACTTCGTTGTTAGCGTCTCCCTTCATAACGGTACTTTTTTTTTTTTTTTGCATTTCTCCTTATTTTCTGTGTTGGCGTGGGTTTCTTTCAGGTGCTCCGGTTTCCCCACAGTCCATAGACATGTGGTACAGGTGAGTTGAATAAACCAAATTGGCCTTAGTGTATGAGTGTGTATGGATGTTTCCCAGGACTGGGTTGCAGCTGCAAGGGCATCTGCTGTGTAAAACATATGCTGGATAAGTTGGTGGTCCATTCCACTGTGGCGACCGCTGATTAATACAGGGAATAAGCCGAAGGAAAATGAATGAAAAAAAAAGAACAAAAATGAATTTATTACAAGGAGCTGCATTATTAGGGCAATTTCATTATTATTTAGTTCATTTCTTTTGGCCATTACTGTATGAATGTTTTTGTCTTTGAAATAAGACATCATGTTCTTGGAGGAAAGCTGAGAAATCATTTGTGCATTAGTGTATACATTATGCATCAAGATTTTGGTTTATTCCTCGGTAATCAAAGGTGTATTAGAAATATTTTTTCTTTAAATTGGAAATATATATTATGCAGAAAATGAGAACATGATATGAAGCTGATACACTTCATAATGAATCTTTTAAATCCAAAGCCTGCCACAGTCTGCATCTTTATTCAATTTCACTTTTCTTTT